TTTTATGTGTTACATGAAACGTATTCTTGATTGTAGATTAAAAATGTATTCAAGTCTTAACTTTTTAATGAACAATATTAGTAAACCATGCGTTTCAGTCAATAAATTTTAATGCGCACAAAAATTAAAAGGCATGTCTAGGCGAAAAATGGTATTAGATGTGGTTTGAACATTGGTATGTAGCGAAGATATTAGGTTAATTAATATTATTATTATTTTAAAAGTGAGTTTTACGGACATGCATTTAATTATACTATCTCTCATTATATGGATATTTATTATGCATTAAAATTTACTCATAAACGGTTGACGTATAATGCCTTCAATACAATAATGTTATACATAGACATAAACTTGATCGCAACAATAGTTTTACTAACAGAACATATTGAATATTAAATGCATCCATGATTTCTAAAGGAAAAAAGAATACTACATTCAAACAATACATCGCTTAACAAATTAGTAATACACTACAATAACTTTACACATTTCTATTTAACTAACCATCACCGAAATCCACTGAGTCGATGCACATTCAAATCAATTACCTGACACCTTTCACAAAAACTAAAGTATCATCCATGTCCATTTAATTCGTTACTGTCAATTTAAATTAACTCTAAGAAATCAGGCAGTAAATTGATCATTCTAAATCTTTAGTGGTTCCATTTGAGGTCATGAGGTCATTATAACCAAGAGAAATTGTCCATTGACACTCAAAATTAGGTTCACAAATTTAGTCCCTTTTATAAATTGAAGAATTAAGTGTATATAATTTGCTATCAATTAACCATATCAATCGGTTTTAAATATTCCGCAAAACTAATCTTTCAGAAAATATTTTAATTTACATTTTTTATCAGCAACACCAATGAACATGAATACTAATTCTGTGTATGTTACGATAAATTATAGATTTGATGTTCATGTTGCTACTTTAAATGACTATTTTCATAACAAAGAAAAACTCTGTAATAATTTTCAACTACTAAATAACAAAAATATACAATAAAATAACCAATAGTTATTCAAAGATATTTCTTCTCCAAATTCATTATACGGATATGTAATTTAAATTAAAATTTACTCATAAACGGTTGACGTAAAAAGCCTTCAATACAATAATGTTATACATAGACATAAACTTGTTCTCAACAATAGTTTCACTCATAGAACTTAATGAAAATTAAATGCGTTCATGATTTTTAGGGGAAAAAAGAATACTACATTCAAACAATACATCGCTTAACAAATTAGTAATACACTGCAATAACTTTACACATGTCTACTTAACTAACCATCATCGAAATCCACTGAGTCGATGCACATTCAAATCAATTACCTGACACCTTTCACAAAAACTAAAGTATCATAAATAACAACTCAACTTACTCTTAAATAAATAAAGTCGACAGAGAAAAATATATGAAATCAATCAATTTTCAAACTACTCTCCAGTCTTTTCACCAATATATTTTGTTGACAAAAGCGCACTAAACAACAAAAATCATTCATGTATGATTCAATGAAAATTGTGAACAAATATCAAAAGAAGAAAGATATCAACACTACCAAATCACGTACTCAAAAAATGGAGTTCCTTGTAAATGATTAACTGAATAATTTGTAACTTCATTGTCCCAATAAATTTACAGTGATTTTTCAAATGTTTCTGATATTTGATGGATACTTCGTTTCACATTAATTAGCATTGTGGCCGGTTACTTCTGCTGCAGTGTTTTTCAAGTCAGCATTTTCAATATTTATATGCTTTTCATGCTGAGTTTCATGTTTTGGAGTATCATCATCTTTGGCATTTTGATAGCTGAAATTCAAGAATGTTTCATAATTATCTGCTGTTATATGCACATCAATATTAGGAGTAGAAGAATTGGATTGATTTAGTATTTTAGTATCGAATGCAATACTCTGTTGATTCTCGAAATCATTGACTTCAGTGTTATTTTCTGTAAATCGTAAATTTTACAACAAAACAGAAAATCAAACTCTCTTACATAATATGATTGTTTCTGATTCATCGATTTGATGATACAATCATCAGGTTCGTTGTTGTAACTCGCTAATAATATTTGACTGTTTGACAGAGTTTGGTTTATTTGTTTGGGAAATGTTAGCTAATGACAAATATTATGAAGAAAAACATAGAATTTAGACAATTTTCTAATGCATTCATTAATCTGGATATTTGTATGAATATTCATCACAATTTGTAAGGATAGTTTGACTGTAAGGAATATATCATATGTAAATAATATGTGTGATTCCACTGCTAGCCATTATCCACCTCTGTTAATAACGCTTGTAACCCAGAGACAATATCTCGTCAGTTCACACAGGATGCACATATGCCGAAAAGATTGATCGATCGCAGTGCTGAACATCAATCGAGACATAAAAACAAATAGTACAAATAAATCACTGAAAATTAATTCCGGTCTAGGTAACGCTTTATTCCTTCCAATATTCATTTGTTATATTAGTTGTTAGAAGCCGGCTCGCTTTCGATAGGTTAGACTGTAGGACAGTTTCAATGAGTTGCATAGAGATTCATCGAATTCGACAAATACTTTCATGTGCATCTGATATCCTAGTAAGCAGAAACAAGCAATATCAGAAGCTTCGCCAGAAATGCATCACCGACAGACAGAGCGTAACAACATTGCATTCCTGACCGTCTTCTTTCAAAAGTATCCTCGAAACAAGTGAAACCGGAAGTTAGGAAAGACACGATGAGAAGACATACTCGGATAATGGTGGGTGTCATGGTATATGAAGTCTAGGTCGACTTGTTTTCTCAAACGATGCGTAGCATGGTGTCCCCTAGTGTTTCTAGGTAGGGTTGTGTTGGATGCTACTCACGGAATGATCGACAGGTAGCACACAGCATTGCAGTGTGATTTTATTAGCGGAGGTATGAATGAAAGGAGATGGAAACGCATGGTGTGATCAGTGTAGCTTTCAAAACAGAAGACATGTGAGTGACGACGGTCAATAGTCTACTTGTTTTGTGAATGGGAGACTGAAGATAGCGTCTACATATTTGGTTACTAAATGATGTTTTCTGCAAGTTTACATATTTGATCTTACATTAACTGCTTTCTACATCACCGGCGGTTGCCTAGTAAAACGTTTGAGGATCGTATCACGGTTGAAGGTTTACAAAACCACCTGTTTTGGTGATCTCTTTACCTCTACAATTCTCCAACCCGAACGATGAACAAAGCAATGCCTAGTATCGTTAGCTGATGGGTTTTAATTTCAGATATCCATAGTAAACGTACCTATGTAGGTCGAGAGACGTCCGCCTCCTCTACGTTCTTTTTTCGTCTTAATCCACTAACCAAGTAGTTGGTTCAAGTTTTCTTAGACTGTGTTTGATTCTGTCGTTATCTTCTCAACCCGGATTAACATAGATTCTAGGAGACATCCAACATGTCTAAGCGGAATTTTTGAATGCGGCTAAAGAGAAGGTGACTTTTCTTTGCTAGAGCCTAGTGTCATCTTCCATGCCCAGTAGAATAAGTTTGTTGGGTTTGAGAATTGTCTTGTGCATTTCACCTGCTGATGATCATAAACTCCATCCCGAATATTCAAATCTTGTTAAAATTTTCACATAATAACATTTGTTTGGAGAATCGGTTCACAAACCCCTTCCTTGAGTTATCTACATGTATATTTCAATGTATCATCGATCAAAAAAGATTCGCTCTCATATGTTATGTTTTTCATCCAAACGGATATATTTCACTGGGAAATAATTATTCAGTTAGTCAATTATAGAAGATCACACTGATTTTTGAGAGCTGATTGCTCGGTAGTCTGTTTATACTTTTCGACAGTAATTCGCAAGGCATGCTAAGGTTGTTGGTCAACAGTCTTAATGCACTGTAATTCATGTTGGTGCTTGTATGTTCTCTATATTATTTTCCAACCAACTTTCCGAGGCTCCTTTGCTAAATAACGTCGGTTTTATTCGGTACATGTTACTCAGTGGATAAAAAACGAGACTGAGACAGTTTCGAAGAAAACATAAAAAACCAATAAATGTGTACATGCTGCCATTGAGGCTATAACGAATAGCAATTGATCGAGACCTCTAGGCGTACTGCACAGAAATTCCACAATGTTATGAATACAGTGCTCTGATTTGGTATTCTGAATCTTCACAAATGAAGGAAGAAGCTTTTATTCTCAGGAACTTCGAAATGTCCCAATGTGATAGCGAAAACTGGTTTGATTCCTGTGATTCATGAGAGATCAACAAGGTCACGTCAGGCTTAAAAAGCGAATGGTAAGTAAACATACTTCATTACAGTGCATTTTTCTGTGCAGTCAGGGATAAAATAAGGCAATTCGAAGAATACTTCTCAATACTGTTTGCAAGTGATTCTATGAAGTCGCATTATCTTTTGAATTTTTTCGTCGTATGTTCGGCTGTGTTACATAACATTCCTGCTATGTTAGGTTAGTTCCCAGTCTCCCTACTTTGTGGAAAATTCAGTCGATTAGGAAGTTCTATGGAAGCTCCTATAGTAAACTTACTGGAAATGAAACCATAATCCCCAAAATTCCTCCAGATCTACAATGTTGCTTTTTAATTTCTCCAAGATTGTAACTAATGTAGGTGAAAGTCGTTGAAGTGTTTTGGGGAAAATTTTGAAATATCTCAGGTATTCCGCAGTACTTGATGATACTGTATATAAACGCCTTTGCATTCTGCTTGCAGTTGATTTCAAAAACCTAACACAATCGTTCCCCCACCCCTATTAACATGTTCACTAACCCAACTAACATAGAATTTCTACAGTGAATCTTAGTGAAAAGCAACATATGAACAATGTCAATGTCGAACATCCTTTGGACGATCGCGATTTTGAAAAGACTGATGTGTTATAAAAGATATTGCATATTCAAGTAAATAAAAAATAAATGTACATTTTCAAAGAAATAATTTATCATTTTCTTCATTTCATTTAGGATGCAATTGTTAGTGTTCCGGTAAAATTGTCATCAGTAATGTTCTATAAATAAAAAGAAAAAAATAGTTATCATTTTCATGAATGTGACATAAAGACTATCTGACGCTTATAATAGGTAAGCCACTGTCTAAAGTAATGAAAATACTTGAGCCTTGGAATTAACACTTCCAGAGACTACAGTGACATATGGAAAATACGAAAAATTAATTTAAACATTCGCGCGTAACGAAAAACTCACCATTTTGTCGGTGATTACTTGTGAAGCCGGCAGAATTATATGCAAAATGTATAGTGAGTAGAAATTCGGAGATAAACATTTTAGTGAAGTTAGTAAGCGCTGAAGAATATATGTCGAGGTTGGTGCAGGTACATTTCCTCTTACTCAGTCAAAATTCAAAATAAAACAGTCGGCGGACAAATGCTCTATATATAGTTAGATATGTAAATGTGCATTAATTCCTAAACACATATCACCACTAGTTATTCAAACAAGAATTGTTCGGTTATTTATAATCGATAAACAGGAGTAATATTCTAACATATTTGGACAGATCACTGACTGTTGATTCGCAAAGCAACGTTCAAATCTATAAAAATATTGATAAGAAAGTGTTAAGAGTTACTTGTTACAACACAGTTCAAGTTCTGCATGTGTGTTTCAATTCACAAACAAAAAAGGCACGAGTCCGATCAATACAAGCAACACAGTCACAAAGGTGAACGAATCAATATGGCGGTAGCCATAACGAAAATGTCGAGTAAAATAAATTAGGTGTAGTTCAGAATAATCATAGAAACACAGTAGGAAAGTAAGGAAAACAAAAACGCAATAAAGTTTAGTGACTTTCTGATTTAGAGTCAAACTATCAGCGAAATATACAACTGGAAGTATCAAGAAGGACAAACTTACATTTAGAAACGAAGTCACAAACTACAACAGGAAAGTATGTACGTGAAGGAATTTTCACAACCGAACCTAAGAAAAGATCTTACGAACATATATACAACTATTCCATAATACGTTTACAATCATAGCTTACATGTTCTTATGATCGCCATCCGCGCTTATTAACTTGATCGTTTGCGTAGTTTAAGGAAGCTTGGCTTGGGACATTTATCGCTTGTGTAATTCCCTACTCCAAACACGTTGCACTTTTAAACTGTGAACGAAGGACATCTGACCAAGCATGGTCATTGTAAGGCTGACTTCAGTCAGTCAGTCAGATGCAACGTAGAACTTCGTACGTAAGTACATCAGTTCATGTTGCCATACCACATCCAGGACCTGTCGTAATGTGATGATGTGGTCTATACAACCACGTCCAGGTCGAAAACCAGCCTGGTTTTCTCGAGTCTGCTCTTCACGAGCATTACTAAGGCGTCTAAGTATAATCAAGGCTAACAATTTAGAAACTATATTAGTTAGACTTATTCCCCTGTGATTGTCACAAGAAGACTTCTGTCCTTTCTCATAAATTGGGACAATCAAGGATTGAGACCAGTCGGATGGGATTGCGTCCAGTTCCCAGATTCTACCCAAGATCTCAGTCAACCTAGCTGCTAAAACTGGACCACCATCCTTAAATATCTCAGGGGTCAGTCTATCAGGACCTGCAGCTCGCCCTCGCTTCAGATTTCCTAACGCTTTCTCAACTTCATTAAGACTAAGGGGACTTACGTCGATTTGCCATTCAGGATGACTGGAGATCGTGGGTAACCGGAGAGTGGCTTGAGGCCAGTTGAACTGATCCCTAAAGTGTTCTGCCCATGGATCCAGTCTCCTGGATTGAGAATGGATAATAATCCCATCCTTTTCCGAGATAGTCTCACTTACACTAGGATTCCTAATACCAGTTTCCTTGATAAATCGGAAAAGTTGTCTACTGTTGCCTATCTCCGCGGCCTTTTCCATCGCTTTTGCTTTCGCCACCCACCACTGTTCACGGTCGTTGCGCAGGCTTTTTATCAGCATGCGCCTGATCTGACTCCGCTCCTCATCGTGCTCAGAGTCTGGTGAGATGTGTTTTCGAGCATCCATCAGATCGGTGGATGCTATTGAGATCCACGGCTTCATTCTAGTCTTATAGTAAACCTTACTAGCAGATATCACTGCTGTTTCCACAGCCTTCTTGATATCATTCCAACCTGCCTCCGGATGGGAATCGCTTAAATGGTCGCCTAACTGTCTTTCTAGTTGTTCCTGAAATATATTCTTCGCCTTATTATCATTAAGTAAAACCTTAAGAGGCTTTCTTACGTTGCTTTCCTACGCCCAGTAAGCCTCAAACAAATACGTGCTCGCACTAGGGCATGATCTGAATCTAAACATGTGCCCCACAACGAGCGACAGTCCTCTATCGACACCCTCCATCGGTGGCTGATCTAGTTGGGTCCAACGTTGAGACGACTTTGGAGGTCGCCAGGTCAACAGATGCTTTTCCTTATGCCTAAAGTTAGTGTACGCTAAGAATAGGCGGTTGTCTGAGCATACTTGCAATAGACGGTCGCCATTGTCTGTTCTCTGAGCCGGGACACCATAACATCCACCTGGTGTCTCTCCTGCTCACTTAGTCTACCTACTTGAGCATTAAAGTCACCAGCCATTATTACTATATCAGAGCGCCTAGCTTTTTGGAGGAGGTCCGAAAGCTTTCTGTAAAACCCATCTTTAACCTCGTCTGAACTGCAGTCAGTGGGGGCATAGGCAGATACGACGAAGAGGTAAAGGAGAATGTCCCTATCTTTCCGAGTCCTTACTGTCCCGTTTAGTCGTACAGCGCACAAGCGACTGTCAACTGGGATCCAGTCAAGGAGAGATTGTTCAGCTCTACGACTCAATGCTATGCCTACGCTAGCGAGACCCCGGGACGATAATTTCTTTGGAATTCACAGCTATTGTATGCTGCCTACACAACAGTGCAGCCATATTTATGGATTCCAAAATCGATGGATTTATTTAACAAAGTTCAGTTCATTAAGATGTAAGTTTCTTCACTGCACCTAGATAAATGAAGTGCATTCACTCTGATGGAAACGCCTCAGACATATCTACGAGCATATTTTTGAAAAGGCTCATATCACGACGACGAATTGTTTGGGGCCGACCACGAAATATCACTTCTTAAGTTATAATCACCATTCAGAAAAGTTATTCGCTTACCGAGGCTAGTGCCTGTAACTTTAAATTTGTCACAACCTGGTGTCGCATTATGTCATACAACAAACTGGACGCCATTACGAGGAGTATCACAGCCACTAACTGAATAGTCATATTAACGTTACACTTGAGAACGTTAGGACCTACCTTCAGAAGATCATTATATTAAGTTAAAACATCTGCGAGAATTGTGTTGAAGTCAGGTGTCATAAAAGACTTAAACAATTCCCGACATGGGAAATTCCTCTCCGCAAAAAATCATTACAATGGCTCTACGGTTTTTCCCCGAAATTTAAACCGCAATTGGGGAAGTAAGACAGCTGAAGGATATAACGTTTTGTGGTTGCGATCTTATAGTCTAAATTCTTTCCGAATCATTATTGTTTGATATCCATGAGCCTGCATTACTGTTATGCTTTTACTTTTGTTTGATTGCATCAGAGAATTAAGACAACTGGACATATTTTTTCAAAACATTCTGTCAAGGTAAGGATAAATATGTGTTGATGATCAAACCTAGTGGTTCTGCTTCACCACACGTTGAACTGACTAGAAATGCACATATATAGTTGGATATATTTAACAGATCGATGGTTAAGTGAACGCTTGATGACCTTATCATTTTAGCATCTGGATACAAATAAGGTAAGGGTTATAAACAAAAATGCAAAATGGTACTCATTCTCTTTTCCTTATGTTTTTCTCAGTTGATTGGAACTTCGGAATAAAAACCGTCCTCATACTAAATAACTGAGAAAATTAATTTTTATGTAAATTAAAACAATAATCAAAGTAACTGAATGCTCACACATCGTGGTTTCGAATCTCAGAAGCATTATCTGTACGATAGAAAAACACATTTCCAAATATCTCAATAAACCTTATATTATAGAAAACTTTTGTAAGTCTGTAATCATAGAGGCATATGAGCTGAGTGTAAACTACTAAACGAACATGATAGCTTAGTGAAGTATATTGTTGACATTATGCAGAAAATAAACAATAGATGATGGTGTAAAACCGATCTTCAAATAGATAATTATATCAATGCTTTATTGGAGCTTTTGTGATCAAAAGAATTTAAATAACCAATGAATACCTTAACCATGATAATCGGTTTGTTCACACATCTATGCAGAAAGTAAGCCATATAAGAAGCTATCAGAGAGATAGGAAACTAACAAGATTAAAAAAAATTTCTGTGAAAAATACGATTGACATCTATGTCCATTTAATTCGTTACTGTCAATTTAAATTAACTCTAAGAAATCAGGCAGTAAATTGATTATTCTAAATCTTTAATGGTTCCATTTGAGGTCATGAGGTCATTATAACCAAGAGGAATTGTCCACTGACACTCAAAATTAGGTTCACAAATTCAGTCCCTTTTATAAATTGAAGAATTAAGTGTAGATAATTTGCTATCAATTAACCATATCAATCGGTTTTAAATATTCCGCAAAACTAATCTTTCAGAAAATATTTTAATTAACATTTTTTATCAGCAACACCAATCAAGATGAATACTAATTCTGTGTATGCTACGCTAAAATATAGATTTGATGTTCATGTTGCTACTATAAATGACTATTTTCATACCGAAGAAAAACTCTGTAATAATTTTCAACTACTAAATAACAAAAATAGACAATAAAATAACCAATAGTTTATTCAAAGACATTTCTTCTCCAAATTCATTATACGGATATGTAATTTAAATTAAAATTTACTCATAAATATTTGACGTAAAATGCCTTCAATACAATAATGTCATACATAGACATAAACTTGTTCGCAACAATAGGTTCACTAACAGAACAAATTGAAAATTAAATGCATCCACGATTTTTAGGGGAAAAAAGAATACTACATTCAAACAATACATCGCTTAACAAATTAGTAATACACTGCAATAACTTTACACATGTCTACTTAACTAACCATCATCGAACTCCACTAAGTCGATGCACATTCACATCAATTACCTGACACCTTTCACAAAATAAGGATTTTCAATACAAATGTCAAGACAGTTCTAATGTATGGAGCGGAAACATGGAGAACTACCAAAGCCATCATCCAGAGGATACAAGTGTTTATTAACAGCTGTCTACGTAAAATACTTCGTATTCGTTGGCCAGACACCATCAGCAACAACGAACTGTGGGAGAGAACAAACCAGATTCCAGTGGAGGAGGAAATCAGGAAGAAGCGGTGGAAGTGGATAGGACACACATTGCGGAAAGCACCTAACTGCGTCACGAGACAAGCCCTCACATGGAACCCTCGAAGCAAAAGGAAAAGAGGAAGGCCAAAGAATACATTACGCCGAGAAATAGAGAAAGATATGAGAGGAATGAACAAACATTGAACAGAACTGGAGAAAGAAGCCCAGGACAGAGTTGGTTGGAGAAAACTGGTGGGCGGCCTATGCTCCAGTCGGGGTAACAGGCGAAAGTAAGTAAGTAAGTTTCACAAAAACTAAAGTATCATAAATAACAACTCAACTTACTCTTAAATAAATAAAGTCGACAGAGAAAAATGTATGAAATCAATCAATTTTCAAACTACTCTCCAGTCTTTTCACCAATATATTTTGTTGACAAAAGCGCACTAAACAACAAAAATCATTCATGTATGATTCAATGAAAACTGTGAACAAATATCAAAAGAAGAAAGATATCAACACTATCAAATCACGTACTCAAAAAATGGAGTTCCTTGTAAATGATTAACTGAATAATTTGTAATTTCATTATCCCAATAAATTTACAGTGATTTTTCATGTTTCTGATATTCGATGGATACTTCGTTTCACATTAATTAGCATTGTGGCCGGTTACTTCTGCTGCAGTGTTTTTTAAGTCAGCATTTTCAATATTTATATGCTTTTCATGCTGAGTTTCATGTTTTGGAGTATCATCATCTTTGGCATTTTGATAGCTGAAATTCAAGAATGTTTCATAATTATCTGCTGTTATATGCACATCAATATTAGGAGTAGAAGAATTGGATTGATTTGGTATTTTAGTATCGAATGCAATACTCTGTTGATTCTCGAAATCATTGACTTCAGTGTTATTTTCTGTAAATCGTAAATTTTACAACAAAACAGAAATTCAAACTATCTTATATAATATTAATTAGTATGATTGTAATAAGAAAATTATTGATGATTGAGAGTTTAACGTTTGAACTATTTTTTATTGGTAAAGTTTTTTTGGCAAGTTAGTTTTTTGTTGAGATGGGGTCGTCAACTCCATACTCAACCCTCCACCTTTATCCGGGCTCAGGGCCGGCAGTAGCCCTGAAGATTCTACAGGCGGAGTTGTAATCAATAATGCATCAGCAGGTGTCAGCAGACACAAATGGGAAAGCAAGATTCTCCGACACAATATAACATGCGTCAACCAGATCACACTTGATGGACACGCCTTCGAGGACGTTAACACCTACACACATATTTGGGCAGAATCAACGACAATCAAGGTAGAATCCGATGCAGATGTGCGGGCGCAGATCGGCAAAGCAAGGGCTGCATTGCTACAATTGAAAAATATCTGGAACACCAAACAAATACAAGTCAACACCAAAATAATGATTTTCAATACAAATGTCCAGATAGTTCTACTGTATGGAGCGGAAACATGGAGAACTACGAAAGCCATCGTCCAGAAGTTACAAGTGTTCATCGACGGTTGCGAAATATTTCGGACTCGTTAGCCAGACAGGATCAGCAACAACCTACTGTAGGAGAGAACGAACCAGAATCCAGTGGAGGAGGAAATCAGGAAGAAGCGGTTGAAGTGAATAGGTCACACACTGCGTCACAAGACAAGCCCTCACTTGGAACCCTCAAGATAAAAAGAAAAGAGGAAGGCCAAGAAACACATTACGCCGAGAAATCGAGAAAGACATAAGAAGAATGAACAAAAACTAGAAAGAACTGGAAACGGAAACCCAGGACAGAGTTGGTTAGAGAAAACTAGTGGGCGGCCTATGATCCATCGGGGTAACAGGCGTAAGTAAGTAAGTAAGTAAGTAAGTTTTGAATGTAAACATCCTGATAATATCAATCGAAGTTCCAATGAATTCGTTTGTATGTGAAGTGTCAATTACTACGTGACATGACATTTAGACTTAAATCTGCACAATGATCTATCTGGAGAGGCTGCTAAATTTCCTGGTCATTTTATTCCTTGAATATTTTTCGATTTATGCGAAAACATTTAAAATAGATAGCTGAAAACATTTGTACTTCAATACAAAGCATAGCAGGAAACTTACCATTTTTGTCTATTTCGGTTTCCTTTGAAACTAAATCATCGGAATCATGGGATTGCCCATCTGATAGTACAGCATCATCACTGACTGACTGCTGCGTTGGCGTGGTATCAGTTTGTTCTTGAGTGCAGTCCAGTTTATTGTTCGTGTTCGATTGAACCGGGGAAGTATTTTCAAGTGTCCGATTAGGCGGAGTTACATTGTTATTGCAGTTAAATAACCTGTTACAAATTACATTTGACAGATTTTTATATAAAACCGATGTTGATTGGTTATGAATCAATGAATACAAAAGTAGTGAAAAAGCATTGAAAATATAACTAAATTCAGAAGAAAATAAGTTTTTATTAACTATATGAGTGAATAAAAAACCATTGAAATGTGTATTTATATTCTTATAAAAACTTTACGCAGTTAGGAGGGATGTGGGCAAAAAAAGAATACTAATCTTTTAGGTGACAAATATAGATGTTTGTTAACAATTCTAAAAAAATATAGGTTGCATATAAGAATAATTCATTTTCAACTTTAAATTCAGGTGTTATAATTTGATAAATTGAAATCATTCAATAAGGATCCACAGCACAATCAGCACCTCAGTCAAGTACATGTAGATCAGTATAAAATGATATTGTTGTAATGCCTGCTTAGATAATTCCCGGCTAAATCCTATTGCTTAGTATTCTTCGACCACAATACACTGGACAAGTTCCCAAGAATCAAAAACACGGTTGAACAGGAAAAGATTATATTCCGAATAGCAAGGTTAAATGTAAATAAGAAGCCAAAGGTGATGGCGAAGGCGAAAATAAATACGACGTTAGTCTATTTATAGCATTTACATGAGAAACTTCTGGATAGAAATTCACGTGATCGAATGAATTAGATTTAACCAATCAGCACGCAGCTAACAGTACGAGAATCTTCTATCCTGTTCTCCAAGATTCGGTCAGGCGCTGATTGGATAGGAAATTAGCCAACCAGCGCGCAGCAACGTAGTCATGCTTTAATTCATCTATGTTCCACTAACACCTCCCCTTTGAGAAGATTCGTAGGATCTGGTGCTAGGGTCCAACAGCAACCGATTGACTGGCTTGTACTTTCGATTAGTCCATCTTCTCGGCAATAAGGAAGTTGTGTCACTCTTTGCTTGCACAGAAACTGACTTGTGTGTTCCAGGCGCTTTGATTTCGAAAGTGTCCAGCAGAACGTCAAGGGGTATTCGGTACCGAGTCCCATTGCTGGCCATCGAAGTTGCATTCAGTTGGTTAGCATGACGTACCCAAACTTCTGAGCCAACTGACACCTCGTAAATCACATTCCCTTTCTTTTTCAAAATCCGACCAGCTGTCCATGCAGGATGTTTTCCACGATAGTCCATAGCAAGTACTTTTTGACCCACTGTGAACGATGGTCTTTTTGCCTCATGGTGTCGATTGAACTGCTTCTCAATCGACAGGTTTCCCTGAGGCTCAAGAGCTGGTGTAGGACGGATGACATCAAAATGTTTTCGTAATTTTCTACTAAGTAGAGCTTCCGCAGGTGAGACTCCGTCAATCGTCTGAGCGTTCGGTGTAGAGCGATAAATAAGCAGGAACCTCTCTAAGATCTCTTCGGTGGTCCCCACCCCTTTAGATTTTTTTAGAGCATTTCTAAATGTACTCACAAAGCGTTCTACTTGACCATTTGATTGCGGATGGAATGGAGGTGTTCGGACGTGATAGATTCCGTTCTGCCGGCAAAATTTCGAGAAGACTGCGGACATAAACTGTGTCCCGTAGTCAGTAACCATCGATTCCGGGACTCCGTACGACTGAATAGTTTACGTAATTTACTGACTGTGCAGCTTGCAGTTGGGTGTTGCATGAAGAAAATTTCTGGCCACTTACTGTATGCATCAACTACCAGAAGGTAAGTTTGTCCATGAAGTGGGCCAGCAAAGTTCAAATGTATACGCTGCCACGGTGACTGTGGTATTGGCCATGATTGCAACTCTGCTTTGCGCGGTGCTTTTGTTGCTAATGCACATTTGGTACACGAACGGGATAGCTGCTCTAGCTGGGTGCCTAAGTGTGGCCAGTATACATAACTTCGTGCTAGTGCTCTTATGCGATTTATTCCAGGATGTCCCGTGTGCAACTGTTTTAGCACTGCTGGTTGTAGTTTCGCTGGAATTATGACTCGTTCGGCAAACAACAGGCAGTCGTCAATGATTGAAAAAGAGAGTCTACGCTGGTAAAACTGTTGAAGCTCTGTAGAGTTGATCTTCGAGGGCCACACTTCCAGGTGAAACTTTCTAACTTCTTGTAGAAGTGGGTCTCGAAGAGTTTCTTCTCTAACTTCCTCTGACGACACTGGAGTGTTTCGAATGGCATCTGCTACTACACTCCGTATTTCTGGGTCTACTGCTGTTAAGGCAATGATTATATCCTCTGGTTCAGGATGCTGAACTCCAATTAATCAAGAGAGAGAGAGTCCGCTTGACCGATAGTATTTGTCGACTGATACTTGATATTGAAATCATAACTCAGGAGCATCGTTGCCCAGCGCTGTAACCTATTAGCCGTACAGACAGGGATTCCTATCTTAGAACCAAAGATTGTAATCAAAGGTTTGTGATCTGTCAGTAGCGTAAACTTACGACCATAGAGCATTTTATGAAATCTTTTGACAGCGAAAATAATAGCAAGAGCTTCTTTCTCAATTTGACTGTAATTTCGCTCGGCTGGGGTGAGAGATCTGGCAGCATGGGCAATTGTTTTTTTTTATTTATCCGGAAACACATGAGATATTACTGCTCCAACTCCATAACTAGGGGCGTCCGATGCAACAACAATTCCCACGCTAAGATCGAAGTGTGTCAAAAGAAGCTTTGAGGTGAGCATCGACTTGACTTTATCGAAAGATGCTTGACATTCTGCTGACCACTGCCAAGGTTTATCTTTTGATAGTAATCCATTCAAAGGAATGCGCTGTAATGACTGATTAACCCCAAGAAAGATCTTAATGAAGAGACATCAGTTGGTGCAGGCATCTTCTGAATGGCTTCGATGTTGGCTGGGTCTGGTCGGCGACCGTTCTTATCTAAGATGAAACCAAGGTATTTGATCGAATGCATGAAGAAGATACACTTTTCTTCACGTAGTTGGAAACCATACTCCAACACTCAGTTAAGGACTTGATGTAGTCGATCTGACAGTTCACTGTCACTTGAACCCATAACTATGATATCATCAAGATAAGCTGCTGTCCCAGGTATACCTGTTAGCATCGTATCCATTATTTGCTGAAAGATAGCCGGTGTGGTCTTGATGCCAAATGGTAGACGAGTGTATTGAAATAGCCCTCGATGGGTGTTAATGGTCAGGAGCTCTCTACTATCTTCATCTACTTCTACTTGTAGATAGGCATCGGAGAAGTCTATTTTCGCGAAACATGTACCACCATTAAGCTTGGCAAACAGATCTTCAGGAACTGGTAACGGATACTGATACACATCCAATGCAGCATTTAAACCAGTTGAGAAATCGGCACAAATGCGTATAGTTCCATTAGCTTTCTTAATCACTACGATCGGTGCGGCCCATGAAGAGTAGTTGACTGATTGGATTACGCCAGCCTATTGTAAGCGATTAAGTTCCGGATCGATTAGTTCAAGAGTGACGTCTCGGACGAAAAATAGGTTTCGCATCTGATTTCAATGGTAAGTGAGCTTTCATCTTGGTACAGAGGCCAAGATTATTCTGAAAAACAGGCAAACTTTTCCTTCAGTTTTTCACGTAATCTTTCACCTGTCTTCTTTGCAAGTACCGGGGTGTTCAGTGATGAAAGCGATATGTTGCAGACACTGTTAATGGGTACATCCATTATTCCCAGTTTTTCTAGCATATCTAGACTAAGAAGATCAAGGTTTGGCCGTTCTGTCAGATAGCACATTCCTGTACATTTTTTTCCGTTGAAGAAAAATTCACACTGCATCTCACCAACCAGTTTTAACACACCACCTAAAGCGCTTTTAGCTGTTTTCTTAGACGGCTTCATTGGCGGTTTTCCCAGCAAGTTGTACGTTTCTCTAGACATTAGGGTGATATCAGATGCCGTGTCGATTTGAAAACGAGCTGATGCACCGTTCATCTGTATAGTCACATAATTTCTCCGAACGTCATAGTCTGTTTGGAAAGCAGCTACCAGAGAAAGTGATTTAGACTCGGCTAATTTCACCATATGTCGAGTACGTTTGTGCTTCTTTTTGGGCCGAGACGTACGATTTGGTTGACAATGGCCTTCTTTATGTCCACGTTTATTGCGCATCTGACGTTCATGTTTTTTAAATGGACAGAACCGTACGTAGTGCCAATCACCACATAACCAACATGCCGTCGTTGGTTTGTTGCAAAATGTTTTCGGTTTCTGCACTTTCAACCTAGTAATAGCATTGACACTACTGCTGGTTAAATTGGGATTTACCTATTCGATCAACATGTTGTCGTGTCTGATACTTTGTAGTCGTTTACACTCATCAATCAACGTTCGGGTCCTGGTCCATTCGAATCAAAAGTCTAGTTCTGATTTCAGCATCTTGTGGTGACTGAAGAGCTTTGATGAATATTAAGCATTTAAACTGGTCTTCTGTCAACGAGCGTAACTCGAACCGTTCACATTCTCTGTTGACGATGTCTGCACGGGCCGCATATTCATCATCTTTGTGTTTCACCAGATTTAGACACTGATATCTAATACTAAATAATGACGATGACAGCTGAGTTACTGTCTCCTCGAAACTGAGCTCTCGGGGTAACTTCGGTAGTATGTGGTCAGCGTAACGTGCATACTCATTACTTCCCAACTTACGCACCAACAATCGAGTCTTCCTAACATCGTCTTGTTTACCGAATTCAATTCTAAATGTATCTTCCCAACGTTTGAACCACGTCAGAAACGTATTTCCACATTCAGGATTATAGACGAATTCTGGTATGCTGTTTGCCACTGCTTCACAAGACGTATTTAAAATAGCATGTGGACTCGAACACTGGATGTTGAGCTGTTGAGTTAGGGTCTCCGACAACCGCATTTGTGCATCCAATTGTGCTTGCTGTTGTTGTAGTATTCAGTTAAGCTGATCATCTGAAATAGGCATCTTGAAGTTTATTTCCTTTTTCCTCGTCGCCACTGTTGTAACGCTTGCTTAGATAATTCCCGGCTAAATCCTATTGCTTGGTATTCTCTGACACAAAACACTGGACAAGTTCCCAAGAATCAAAACACGGTTGAACAGGAAAAGAGTATATTCCAAAATAGCAAGGAATAAGAAGCCAGAGGTGATGGCGAAGGCGAAGGTAAGAAGGCAAAAATAAATACAACGCTAGTCTATTTATAGCATTTACATGAGAAAGCTTCTGGAAG